TGAAAACACATGTTTTTTCATTGTTCCAAGAAACTGATGTGAATTTTTTTTTAACAGAAGCGATGATTATTTTTTATATATTTTTTCATTATAATAACTTTACTCTTTCATTATATCCATTTACATTTATCATCTTTATTCATTTAAATACATATTGTTTATATCTTAAGATAAGTCATAGTATTCATCAATCATTTTCTTTTTAAAATAAGTGTTATGTAGTGATTTTTCTTTATTATGAATAATCTAATATATTATCACTAAAAATTATATTATTATGAACACTTAATACATTGTACTTACTAATTTACTTATACATTGGTATGAATAATTGTATGTTTATACAGAAATAAATAAAAAATAAATAACAAGGAAACCAAAATTCCACCATCCTTAAAAATAAACAGATAATAAAAGTCACCAGGCAAACAAAGCCATAGTTCAACCAAACAATCAGAAAGCTTTCACCACCAGGATATAAGAAAAGTAATCAATAAATAACAAGGAGAACAAAAATAAATTAATAAATAAATAAAAAGGCAACCAAAATGTACCTGTTTCTAAAAATAAATACTTTAGCCAACCAGTCAGAAAGCTTTCACAACTAAGATATCAGGCCAATCTATGCTGAGCCATATTTACCTATGTCCTGAAGAATTGCACTTTCAACAACCATAGTTATGATGACTGGAGCTTTATAGAGACAAAAGTCAAAATTCCTTAGAAACAAAAAAAAATTGTATATATCAGCAGCAGAGTATATTTTTTTTATTCTTGTTTCTTTTTGAAACAAGAAAAAAAACAATCTACTCTGCTGCTAATATATACAAATTTGTCAATATTATACCAAGATCTGACATTTAATAAATATATACTCAATAATTATTAGTTAATTTAAGAGAAATAATTGTACAATCATTTCATAATGCTTCAAACTCAAAAATTGGAGTTATCAAATTTTGAAAAATGTATTGTTGGTTTATATGTATGTAGAATAAATCTAGTGTCAAATAGCATTGAAATTAGGAATTCCAAATTTAAAAAAAGAAGTGCTCGATTATACAGCCCCTTAATGAAAGAAAAGCATTGCTTCTTATTCAAATCAACTCTAACCATTAAAAAAGATGTTTTTATGCAATGAGATTGTGAAATCTCATTTGCAATCTAATATGTGACAGAACATATTCAAAATAATCTATGAATATTAATAGTAATGGTGAGACTAGCCATTTCCATAGAGAAAACATTCAGCATTCATTCTGTCAATAGAAATTTATAAAATCTTTCTCTTAAACCAGTTTATCGAGGAAATAGATTTCTCAAGTGTACTGGCTTTGTTCTTTCTCACATCAATGGGAGTTTCCTTACAGAACTTTTGTTTTTGTAGTGTGGAAAGGGAACACCTTGATATCTTTATTTCCTCTTCTAATTACATGTGCTCCCCATTTTTATTGTTGATGCTGTTGAAAGTTTTCAAGCAATGTGGTGTTTGTTATTTGGTAATGTTCTTTCTTTGTGATTCTGTAGCACCAGTCTATAGGGTCTGATGAAAACAAGTTGCCTTTAAGACCTAAAGGATTCATTTGGTTGAAGCCATTTTCAATCATTGATCTGAGAAAATAGTTGTATATAGATGACATTTTTACAATAGATTATCGTCATCACATGGGTGATGGCAAAACAGACAAAAGTAATCACTTCTTAAACTAATCGGTCAAGGAAGCAGTAAACAACTGAGATTGTGGACAGAACTGTTAGTTTCAAACCAATAGGAATGATTACAAAACACTTTTCCTTCCCGATTTTATAGAAATGCATGCTGGGAGTTTTTCCTAGCCAATAAAATAAGCTGGTTCTCAGTTTCATCTGATTCAGTCCCAGTTTTTCTTGAAGTCAGAATGCTATGTTCGTTTGTCCGAACTTGCTTTTGTGTGTCATCCCCAATTCTTAGTTTACAAACTTTTTACCATATTACTGTTTCTTTGCCTTATTATGGCTGATTTGCCTTGCATATATTGTTTACTTGCTTTATATCATTTTTTGCCCTGTTCTTTTTTTTATTATTACTTATTGCAAACTTTGTCAATTCTGTTTGTTGGAAAATTCTGTCACTAATTTTTAATTTGACCATGGCTATTCACTACACAAGAACCTTAAAATGTTGGTATGCTATCATCTTTTTAGATCAGTTCCTGTCTGCTTAATTTTCAAACAGCCAATAAGTATGGCTGAAGCATGGCATAACCAATTTGTCATGCTTTGACTATAGCAATGGTTTTCTTGATGCAAAAAGTGAATACAGGTTCAATTCCTGTCAAGAGGCACATTTTTTTCATTCAGAATCTTCCTCTAGTTGATGTTTCACAGTTGAAGAAAAGAAACTTCCTCTGAAAATAAACTGCATCATCACACATGTGTCAGTGGTGTAATGATTAGCAGTTCACAACAAGGAATCAGGGAGCCAAGTTTGAATTCTGGTTAAGTTTATTACATTCACCTTTGCACAAATAACCTTGGGAAAGGTATAAATCCATCTCTTCTCCCCTTGGCTATGGGTTAAATAGCATACAAGACTAAGCTCCCTAGCAGAGGTTGAGAAAGAAACTCAGAATTAAAAAAATGCATTTAACTCTGGTGAAACACACTTTCCACCCAATGAAAGCATCATGAAGTTCACAATGATTATGATCTCAACTACAGTCATTGAGATAGATGCATGCACACACACACACACACACACATATATGTATGTATATATGTATAGTGTGTGTGTGTATGCACACATATTATACATATATATATATATATATACACACATACATACACACACACACACACACACACACATATATATATATATATGGCATGGTGGAGTAATGGATAGTGGTTCAGATTGAGGAATCAGAGAACCAAGTTCAAATTCCAGTCAAATTTATTACATTCACTTATTTAGGTATTAACCCTTGCGAAAGGTATGAATCCTCTTCTTCTCGCCTCAGATATGAGTAAATAGCAGGACAGACTGGGTTCTATAGCCTTGGATGGCAACTGGTCTAGGAGAAGGACAACTCTGAATTCAAAACCTGAGAAGGGTCATTTGGAGACCTTGTGGCACATGGTGTACCAGGTCTCTGTATTCGGCTCTTCAAAAAGTGTGGTTGGTTCTGCACAAAGCCTTCACCACTATCATCAAATCATATATGCAGGTATCTGGATGTTGGTTCCTAGGAACTGAACTGCTTGACCCTCATACATCGAATATGACGGGAGAGTCCACCATTATATATATAATATGTGTGTGTGTTTGTGCACATACTATTTGTTATAGATGTATGAATTGTTATCTATAAATAGGAACCAACGTACAAGGATTGGTAAAAAAAAATATCTGTCACAATTTATTTTTAAGAATTGTAGCATTATTCCTGCTTTTTTTTCATCTGTTATAAACTATTTTGTTCAGGATCCCATTGGAAAGATCTATGAAGTTACTTTCACTTTCTTACCGATAATCTTCTTTTAAAATGGCTTCCCCTCTGGACACAGATAAAACAAAGAGTTCTCATATAGTTTTTTTTTTTTTTTAAGGATAAAATGCTGCAAATATTCGCAGGTGATTAGTAAATTCTTATGAAAATGTTGCTATTTATATAGTCACTATAAAGAGAAAGCTCAGTAGAGTTAATACTAAACCTTGAGAAAAAAAAAAGAAACTGACTTTAGTGACAGACTCTACAATGGTAGGCATGCTGCTACTAGGAATGAGAAGAAGGCCAAAGAGGCTGATGATGCCATTGAAACTCATAGAAGAATGCCAATTGCAAAATTGTGGGAAAGCTTTCGAGTAAGCTAATGTAGTATGCATAGTTTAATTTACTACTAAAATGCCTCTGCAAAGTGAGTTCCTAGAATGCTAACAGATCTTCATGAAAAAATAATGGGGTTGCTGTCCAAGAGATTCTGGAGCTGAACAACATGGATAGCACTTTCCGAAGTAGGATAATCATACTGCTAGAGTTTATACCCCAACTTGGCACTACAATGAATTCTGATTCCAACGTAAGCACATTGTCAAAGCTCAGAATAAAGCTTTTTTGAGCTATGCCACATTTGAAGAGAAGTCATGTGCTTTTGTAACATGAAAATGCAAGGCCTCTTTTCTTTTTATGTGCCATGTCATTTTAGGACATAGGCGATCATAGCTCTCCACACTCTCTATCCCTTGCAGCTCTCAACAAGTTCCTTCCCCCTGCTTCCTCCCCCAGACAACGTTCTGGCATCACTTGTTTAAGTCTGTCAGGTATGTCACATGTTGTTTTCCCTTGTCTCTCTTTCCCTCTATTCGACCTGTGAGTATCAGATTCTCCAGGCCCTCTTTCCTCATTATGTGTCCCAGAAACTTCAGTTGCATCTTCCTGATGTTAAATATAAGCCTCCTCCTTGTTTGCATTGTCTCCAAGACCTCATCATTGCTAACATGTTCCGCCCATGATATCCTTAGCATCCTTCTGTAGAACCACATCTTTGTCGCCTTGAGTCTCTTCTTCATCTTTGAGGAAATCCTCACAGCAACTTAAAGACTGGATAGTTAATTGCAGAGCATGGATGAATAATTTTGCCTCATCCTGCCTACCATATTGACCTGACACCATCAAATTTTACTTGAGCGAGGAGGAGACACTCAGAGGACATCAGTTCTTCAATGATGAGGTGAAAGAGGCAACTCACAGAAAAGAAAGAAAGAAACCAAGTTTCTAAAAGACAGGAACAGATGCCTTCATTCAAAAAGTGGAATATCAATTAGATCAGAAGAAGACTGTTTAAGGCATAAATTCTTATAGTGTATTTTGCGATTAATAGAGTTTAACAGTTTTGTTCTCAAAATTAACAGGGGTTTTATATTTTTCATTTCTCTTACGTTTTTGTTACTTCCATTTTTTAAATTGATAATTTAAAAAAAATGTATGTCTGTTCCAATGACATCGTTCTGAAGAAATTACTTACAGCAACTGACAGAGAGATAGCAAGCTAGATAGATATGAACAGGGAGAGAGAGAGATAGGTAGGTTGATATCTATGAACAGAAAGAGATAGGTAGGAAGATAGCTATGAATAGAGAGAGAGATAGATAGGTAGATATATGAACAGAGAGAGATAAGTAGGTAGATATATGAACAGAGAAAAATAGGGAGGTAGATATATGAACAGAGAGAAATAGGGAGGTAGATATATGAACAGAGAGTGATAGGTAGGAAGATAGCTGTGAGCAGAGAGAGATAGGTAGAAAGATAGCTATGAATAGAGAGAGAGAGAGAGATAGGTAGATATATGAACAGAGAGAGATAGGTAGGTAGATATATGAACAGAGAGAGATAGGGGTAGATATATGAACAGAGAGAGATAGGTAGGTAGATATATGAACAGAGAGAGAGAGGGTAGATATATGAACAGAGAGAGATAGGTAGGTAGATATATGAACAGAGAGAGAGAGGGTAGATATATGAACAGAGAGAGATAGGTAGGTAGATATATGAGCAGAGAGATATAGGTAGGTATGAACAGAGAGAGAGAGAGATAGGTAGGAAGATAGCTATGAACAGAGAGATAGATAGATAGGTAGATATATGAACAGAGAGAGATAGGTAGGTAGATATATGAACAGAGAGAGAGGGGTAGATATATGAACAGAGAGAGATAGGTAGGTAGATATATGAGCAGAGAGATATAGGTAAATATGAACAGAGAGATAGGTAGGAAGATAGCTATGAACAGAGAGAGATAGGTAGGTAGATATATGAACAGAGAGAGATAGGTAGGTAGATATATAAATAGAGAGATATAGGTAGATATGAACAGAGAGAGATAGGGGTAGATATATGAACAGAGAGAGATAGGTAGGTATGAATAGAGAGAGAGAGATAGGTAGGAAGATAGCTATGAATGGAGAGAGATAGGTATATGAACAGCAAGAGATAGGTAGGTAGATATATAAATAGAGAGAGATAGGTAGATATGAACAGAGGTAGGTAGATATGAACAGAGAAAGAAAGATAGGTAGATATGAACAGAGAGAGAAAAATAAATAGATATGAACAGAGAGAGAGAAAGGGCGGGATAGGTAGATATGAACCCAGAGAGAGAGAGAGAGAGAGATAGGAAAATATGAGCAGAGAGAGAAATAGGTAGATATGAAGAGACAGATAGATAGATAAGTAGGTAAATATGATCAGTGAGTGGGAGATATGAACAGAGAGAAAGAAACAGACAGACAATCATTTAAAGAAAGATCTATCATAATATTTTAGATATATATTTATCATTATTATATGGCTTGCTATTTGCACCAGCATTCTGATCTAGATAGTTAGATAGATAAAAAAGGAAAACAATTTAAATATCTGTAAGATATATTGCTCAATGAATGGAAAGAAAAATACATGCATGCATGTATGTATATAAAAGAGATAGAAACAGATAACTGTAGATAGATATTTGGCCAGATTGGCAAAGGTATCTTTTTATACAGAGAAGTCAGATGATCTGATGACTAATGCAGTAAAAGGAGAAAAGATGGTGGATAGAAAACCCATTTTCAAAGGAAATTGTTTATCTTTAGCAAAGTTTTAATACACAATTTCTTTACAGTGTTTTGTTTTTATATTTTTTCAAGTCGTATCTTTAAAATAGTTTAAAGAAGTGGTTTCATGTTATTTTTTAGCACAATATATCAGAGCTGAAAGCAGAAGGAAAATAGTTTTCTTTTAAGAAGAATAAAAAAAATAATAACAGAAAAAAGAAAGAAAAATGACAAACTGAAAGGGAAAGCATGTATGTATATGTATATGTATATGTATGTATGCACACATATGGGATATTACACAGTTGTTTTCATAGTAGTATATATTGTTTAATAGTTAGTATATATTAAGTATATATTAAGATAAAATTTTTCTCTCAAAATAAAACCCTCTCTCATTATATATATATATATCTATATATAACGAGAGAGTTGAATACACACACACACATATATATATATATATATATATATATATATATACAAGTATAGGATTGGTGTATACGGAATAAATTCCAATAACCAACAATTACTATTCTTAAAAGAGTGCTCAATACAGAGTAGACTGAATATAATTATTTATTTAAAAATTATAACATAAATATGTTATAAAATCACTACATATTTATGATAATTTTTTAAATAAATATATATATATATATATATATATATATATATATATATATATATATATATTCGACCATCTTGTTGTATTCGACATATGAGGGTCAAACAGCTCAGTTCCTGGGAACCAACAGCCTGACACTAGCACATGTGATTTGATTATAGTGGCGAAGGCTTTGTGCAGAACCAACCACACTTTTTGAAGGGCTGAATACAAAAAACCTGGTGCACTACATGCCACAAGGTTCCCAAACGACCCTCCACAGGTTTTGAATTCAGAGTTTTCCTTCTCCTAGACCAGTTGCCATCCAAGTCTGTCCTGCTATTTACCCATAGCTGGAAATATATATATATATATATATATATATATATATATATATATACCCACATGGTTGAGTGGTTAGTACGTTCACTTTCTGACCATGAGACCCAGGTTTGAATCTCACTGCTGTTGATTTGTTGAGAAGGAAACTTCCTTACATTATCGATCTGGAGGGGGATGATACCAGCATGCAGCACCTTTGGAAAGTGCCTAAAAACCATACTTAAGTCTTGTGAGTGAAATTGGGTAGGTGGAAAACTTGGGAGCCGTCGATAGCTGTGCTAGCACAAAGTCACAAAGTGTGATGGCCTTGTTCAAATTGCTGATCACGCTAGATAACACGCTCTCTCCCAGAAACTTTAACTAAGGTCTGCTCAGCATAGTTGCAGTATAAACCACAGGTGGGCTCTGTGGGTGTTGAACAAACACATATGTGCCTGAATGAGAATCTGCAATAGGGATTAGCTAGCTGCCCTAATAGATGGGTATCCTCGAATACAAGTGGCCAGCTATTATTATTATTATTATTATTATTATTATTATTATATATATATATATATATATATATATATATATATTCATTAAAGCATGTTTGGTAGAATAAGTTGAATATATTATGTCTATTTTTATTTTAATTCTCTTGAATTCCCTGATTGACTCCTTAATGTTGATATGAAATTCATTAAGGAAGGCACCATAGTTAAAGCTATGACTATGATTTTATCTAAGGGAGGTAACTTCAATTTGTGTAATTATTTTATGCATGTATAAACAAACCAATGTCTTAAGTCATGCTAGTGGCATCATACTAGCACAACTATCAATAGTCTCTGTATAGTTTCATCTACCCAAATTCACTCACAATGCTTGGGTCAACCTGTGGTATAGTTTGGTATAATAATTTATTAACACGCTATAAAAATAGTGATGTAAAAGTACTGAATGAGACATTGCTTGAGACGGGCAGATGTTAACCACCTTTTAATGTTGGATAATTGAAAAGAAATGAAAAAAAAAGACACTGTATGAGTGAAAAATATCAAATATTTCAAACCTATATTTTATTTTGTGTTGAAACTGCTATATAGAAAAAAAAAATAATATAAATCTTATAGTCAAACATAAGTATCCACTTTAAAAGTGAAGAAAATTAAATAACGCTGACAAAATATGCAAAAACTAAAACATTTGGTAAAAATAGAAAATAGATTTTATATGAAAAATGACTTCCATGATCGAAATAATTGATCCTTTCCTGGATGATGCTGATTCAGAATATATATTGTTTTATGAGTGTAACTAATTGTTTTTGAGAAAATCCCATCCACACACGGATAATTCACATTTTTATTATAACTCAGGGTTGCCAAACGACGCCTCTTTGGCCTTTAATATGCGGCACATGGAAATATGTTGGCTGAGTTTCTTTTTTCACCACAGTTAATATAAAAGGTAAATAAGAAAAATTTCAATTTTGTTCATGTCTTGCATCTCTCAAGCATCTGAACTTTATTGTATGTGGCTCTTACATTAAGCAAGTTTAGCTACCTCTGTTATATATGATGAATTACACAGCATACATTACATGTGGAAGAACACAGAAAAGAAGGCATTACTTTGATGACAGAATATGGGTGAACCTCCAAGACTCTAGATAACCAGAGCTTAGCAGCTGATCTCTCCTCTGACCTAGTTCTAACAGCTCTATCATCACAAAGCAATTTTCACCTATCATGATGAACAGGTGTTTTTCTCAGGGAGACCCCATATCTTTGGCAAATGAAAAAGGGGTCATTTTCAACCACAAGACATGTTGCAAAAACAGACCTTGCAGAAGTTTAAAGAGAAATGGGAAACCCTCCAACACCCACTCTATTCTCCTGACGTGTCGCCTTCAGATTTTCATTTGTTCTGGTCATTCCTGAACAATTTAAATGACAAAATAAATTTGACCTTGTATCTTCTTTTATGTGCCATGTCCCTTCAGGACGTAGGTGATCACGGCTCTCCACTTCCTCTCCTTTGTAGTTCTCAATGTGTTTTGTCCTTTTCCTACTTCTCCCAGACCCTGTTCTTCTACCCACTTGCTTAAGCCCGTTAAGTATGTCACACATTGCTTTCTCTTATCTCTCTTTCCCCTCTATCTGCTCTGTGAGTATCAAATTCTCCAAGGCTTCCTTTCTCATTACATGTCCCAGAAATTTCAGCTGCCTCTTTCTGATGTTAAGTATAAGCTTCCTCTTTGTTTGCATCCTCTCCAAAACCTCATCATTACTCATATGTTTGGTCTATGGTATCCTTAGCATCCTTCTGTAGAACCATACTTCTGTTGCCTCGAGTCTCTTCTTCATCTTTGAGAAGACTATCCAACATTCGCTGACATAGTTTAGGTACTTTTAAACATTAGGGGATGTGAGTTGTAGTGTAATGAATATTGAGCCTCTTGTTAATGTTTGTTTTAGCAAAGTCACTTCTCAAAATGGACATATTCTATTACCACAGTACAGAAACTGCATTGATTTACTTCCCTTAGTTTGTCCCTTTTTGTGCCATGTCCCTTCAGGACGTAGCTGATCATGGCTCTCCACTTCTTCTCCTTTGTAGTTCTCAATGTGTTTTTTTCTTTTGCTACCTGTTCTGTCATCCACTTCCTTAAACTCACTAAGTATGTTACGTTTTGCTTTCACTTGTCTCACTTTCCCTCTACCCACCCTGTGAGTATCAGTTTCTCCAAGCCTTCTTTTCTCATCACGTGTCCCAGAAATTTCAGCTGCCTCTTTCTGATGTTAAGTATAAGCTTCCTCTTTGTTTGCATCCTCTCCAAAACCTCATCATTGCTCACATGTTCAGTCTATGGCATCCTTAGTATCCTTCTGTAGAACGATACCTCAGTTGCCCCCAGTCTCTTCTTCATCTTTGAGGAAATCATCCAATATTTGCTATGGAATCACTTGAAGAGTCTTCTCAATTATAAATTCCTTTCTAACAGTGCAACCCTCTTTCTATTTTACATAAATGATCATTTGTAAATATCTATGTGTATACTCCAGTCATTTGTGAATATCTTGGTACAACACTTTTTCTACTTTGCCTAAGTGTATACTCAGATCTTTGACTATCTATGCTGATGATACCATGGTATATGGGTGCACCTCAAAAACTCGAGATGACCAGAGCTTGGCAGCTGATCTCTCCTCTGACCTAACTTTAACAGCTCAGTGAGTGTGAGGTTGGTAACTGGCTGGTCACATTCAATCCTGGAAAATCAAACTTATGACATTCCATTGTCACTGAGCAGACCCTGAATTTTCATCTATCATCATGAACAGATATTCTCTCAGGGAGACCCCATACCTTGAGCACCTATTGAGGCTTTAACTCAACCCTGACCTCAAGTGGAATATATATATATATATATATATATATATATATATATATATATACGATCAATCAATAAAGATACTGGAAAAATGATTGGTTACCTGTACCACTCAATTAAGTAGCCGGCCCCTTCTGCTCTCCTCTACCTTCAGAGATCTGGCCGAAAATGGAGTACTACTGCCCAGTCTTCACTTTCCAGTCTTGATAGTCCAAAAGTATTTCTACATCCATGTGGGTGATGAATTATTTTCCACACTACAACCCCTTTCCCACAAACATCACAAGCCTCTCGCTGCTCTATTGCTATTTCCACAGAAAGTGTTCTATATGCCACCAATTCTCACCTTCATGGCTAAGACCCGCCATATCAGG